AGAGTGCTGCACAGACCAAAAAAGGAATAAAAAATATAGATTAAATAATGTGATATTGCATAATTAAATGAATTTGAATTTTAAATGTGTAAAAATAAAATCAATAATACTAATGACACATCATTTGATCCATATTTTTAATTTTTTTAGTTAGTTTATCATTATTCTAATTTTATTCGGGTTTTTTTAGCACTGAAAACCCTATTTGTCTTTGCGAAAATAAATAGACAGGTTGTCCAAATTCCAAGAATAACACCAAGGTAAGATAATTACGTTGGTATAAACTAGAGGTGGTAATTTTTGATACTGACACGATAATTTGATACGAAACATGATACGAATAAATGGGTTTGGATTGATTATTTTTTTGACACGACCCGTCAACACGAAGTGTTAATGGGTTGTGTTCGGATTCAACCCGTTTAACACGAATTGACCCGTTAACACGAAGTTTTTAATTCGAAGGAAATTGACCTGATCTTTTCGTTGCATGTATGAGTTTTCATGTTTTGATGACTTGTTTTTTTTATTACTTCTGATGTTTAATTTGGTTGTATGATGTACGATTAACATATTTAATTAGTATTATATAAATAAAATATTAATTATTTATAACTGTTTATCCAGCACTGACATAATTATTATATAAAAAAGATATTATTACTCATTATTGTTGTTATTATTATTATTAAGTTAATTTTTAGTTTGTAGAAAAAGTATGAGGAGAGATTCAATTAAGTGAAAATAAAATCTTAGCGTTAAATTTTTTATTCAAAATTTATGTAGGTCAACACAAATATGAACACGAACACGACACGAAAATAAACAGGTCAACTCGACACGACATGAATAGTTAAATGGGTTGGGTATGTGTTGACTAATATTCGACACGATTAATGTTCGACACGACACGAACCCGATACAACATGACTCGATTGCCACCCCTAGTATAAACCTATTTGAGACATTTGTAACATGAGGAACTAGAATAGTTGGAACATACACATAATAGTTCTAGTTGGAGATCCAATTTTTAAATTTGACTCTCTTTACTGTATTGTTTCTTTAACCCATCATGCACTGAGGTCACTGATGGTCTGTTTGGTAGGATGAAAAAATAGAGAGATAAAAAAATAAAAAAAAATAATGATGATTCCCTCCCAATAACTATTGCGACATTTCTTAATTCCTCACAAAAAATAATTTTTCTTGTAGTGAAGAGTTTCTTCGTATTATTAAATCAATAAATTAGATAAATTTTTTAAAGGCCAATAACATTACTCCTACATGTATTTCTAGCCAGGGACTCGGTAAAAACATACATATATATAAAGAGAGAGAGAGCGAGAAACGATATGTCTTATTTATAAAAATGTCATTGAAAATGAGAGGCATTAATCATGACTAAATCGTTGAAGAGGGTTGGAATATGAGTGATTGTGAGAAGGAAAACAATATTTGAACTCTCTAAGTTGACTTTACACCATTTAATGATTGTATTAATCATAAATATTAAATAGATAATAAATTTTAATAAATAATAAAATTGGCAGTTAAATCTATGACCATGAAGTCAACAAATGGTGTCCAAGTAGCATAGCTCTTGTGACAATCATCCCCGGAGAGGTAATGCCACCTATCTTGTGTTGATTCATATATTCCCCAATTATTTTGACCAGGTATTTTGACTTGACTACCACGTGGACATTTGCTATTGGATAAAACAGCAACATATTTTTTTTGTGGACACAATAAGACAAGGAAAAAGAAGAAGAGCTGTCGGTAAAAAAGAAAGCTTTAAAGGAGATAAAAAAAAAAAAATATATATATATATATATATATAGACATATAGACATGGGTTTATATTCAGTATTAAATATAAGGTGGAGGATGTGTGGGATGTGTGGGATGTGTGGGATTATGCAGAGATGTCATGGTGAAAAGGAAAAAGGCCTATGAAAGCTTGCCCATACTCTGATCTCACGTTCTCCCACAAGCTTTTCGTCCGATTTGAACTTTTGTGGGCCTTGTCAAATTATTACAGGTTTTATTTGATACGATTACAGCTTAATAATACTTAGTCTACCTTATTAATACTCTCTCTCTCTCTTACACACACACCTATGGGTATACACTCAATACATATTGTGTAAGAACAAACAAACGAACAAAAGCATCAGAGAGAGATCTGGTCCTTAAGATTTTCTTTTATTCTTTGAAAGTTGTTTAAAGTTCAGCAATCATCCCTCCTAAACAGTTCATAATTATTTCTTCAAATTTCTCGATGAAGCAACATATACATGTTCTCATGAACAATTGAAAGTGCCTTAATGAAGGCCTTAAATCCATAATTATGGACACATACAAGAGAGAGAGAGAGAGAGAGAGAGAGAGAGAGAGAGAGAGGATCAACCTTTAAACTAAAGAAAGGTGTGGCTATAGCTGTATGTCACAATTTTTTTGAAGACAAAATGCCAAGACCTGCTCATTCTCTCGAGCATCATAATGAAAGCTTTGAAAGGATAGGATAAGAAAAAGAGTAATACATGGGTACCAAATGTTGATCATTTCCTTTTGAGTTGCTACAATCATATATTAGTAAAACAGATTAACACAGACCAAAATAAATTAGTTCAATCGAACGAGGTTGTTATCTGTATTTCTACGAGGCATCATCAATTGTTAACATTGTATTGACTACTAATTTGACACATCATAGAGGTGTTATACTATAAGGGTCTCGTCACTATAGCATTGTAATATAAATGTTCCTTACTTGAAGTTTTTAGTTGTAATGAAGCATGTATCACTGAGACTGAAGACAAGTCAAAAAAATCAATTCAACAGACCAGTTTGGTTAGAGACTCACTCGAGTTTCAAGAGAAAGACCATCTCTATTTAAAGGAGATTGTCAAGTTGGCCACACGCAAGGTCTACTTCAATGGCAAAGCCCATGCACTGTATTTAACATGTATTCAACACAGCTTGTAAATCCGCGCATTTATCTCACTGGAGAGAGCGTACCTCGGGCGAATTGACATAGCGTCAAACCACCTTCAGGATAGTCCGGATAAACATGAGTGATGAGAAGTGAAATGAGATATATATAATCCCTGAAAAAATCAAAAAATATAAGTTGACATAGCTCTTGAACATTAGTCCATAGATGTATGTACCATACACCAAACCACTTATATCCTACATTCCATATTTTTTCGTTTTATTACCTTCAATCTCTCCCATTATAGATTTGTATAACTTTGCCCTCTAGAGATTGTGAAAACGATAATCTTCTCCCAAAAAGAAAATGATATATATTCATGAGAATTTGACATTGGTAATGCTGAAATGAGTTTAAACTATATATTTGTATCTTTTTGAAATCAAAAACCTTTCAAAAGTTACCACAAAAATTTAAAGACAATAGATAGAATTTGAAAAAATATGTTATTTGTAACAAATAATTGTGTTAGTTGATTAATTGATCACATTTTACTCATGAAATGTGTTGGATTAGTATTAGTCTGGATACGACAACAAAAAGTTTCAAGAAAACTAGTATTTTTTGAATTATATGAAACTAGTACACAAACAGCGAATCCTTAGGTATTTGAACCGGAGTATTCAAAAAAAAAACGTAATATTTGATGGAAGAACTAGGGATTCTTTTGAACAATCTGCTCAATTGGATCGAAAGTAGATTCTTCGAGAAAACTAGTGTTTTTTGAATTATATGAAGCCAGTACACAAACAGCGAATCCTTAGGTATTTGAACCGGAGTATTCAAGAAAAAAACATAATATTTGATGGAAGAACTAGGGATTCTTTTGAACAATCTGCTCAATTGAATTTAAAGTAGATTCCATTTAATTTTAAAACTCACAACTAATTCAATAATTACTTTAAATTAAGTTTCTAATTAGGTCCTTATACTATACAAGTAATACTATTGAGACCTAATTTGCTGACTTAATTTACTATAATATTGGAATTGATTGTGAATCCCAAAAATTTTGTGTTAATTTAATGGTTACAATAAAATCACATCATTAAACTAATAAATTAAATTAAATTTTTAGATGTTAATAACATTACTCACCCAATTTATATGATAAACAATTGACCCATGTTTGAAAACTTTCTATGAAACATGAAGTCAGAAATCATGGACCGCCCCGCGGGGGAGAGAGGGGGGGGGGGGGGGGTTGGCTTAATGGAGGGAAGCCAAACCACAAATCTTGGACAATGATGGTATGAAAGGAAGCTCAAACTTAACAGCAACACAATATTGTAAACCAACAGCAGTACTTATTTACAAAGTGTCTGTGTTGATATTAGTGTAAATTCGTGAACAAATGAGCTAATTTGCTGCCTCAGCTAAACTGACTAATCGCAAGATTTGCAAGACTTTTCTTTTTCTCTTTGGTCCAAATCCAAAAAACTACAAGAAATCATTGAAAAAGGGTTTTCAAGTGCTTTACTAATATCCTTATTTTTCCCTTCTTTTGATTTGTAATAGAAAAGTTATTCTACTGGGGGTTGCCATATGTTTGGTTTCACTTTTGTTGGTTAGAAGACATTTTTCTATAGATATAGGTAAGATCTAAGAGTAAATTTTATAGGAATTTTAAAAAAATATCCAAAGACAACTTAATATTTCATAAATAACATAAGCATTGTGTCTTTTAAATATTGTTTATTTCATAATTAAGAAAAACTCTGACCAAAGGGCCTTCATGTTATTCCTCAAATATTATGGATTATGGTGTTATTTCACCAAAAGTGAAGGTAGGGAAACATAATTCATCCTAGAGTTTATCATTATGGACCGTAAGCTTCAAACAGGCTGCCTGGACGAAGATAGTAATTCCTTATAGTAACCCGGCCGGCTCCCCCGCTGTTTCTAGCTAATATGATGCCACCCGGACACCATATAAAGGCTTAGATAATATGGGTATGAGAGAGAGAGAGAGAGAGAGAGAGAGAGAGAGAGAGAGAGAGAGAGAGAGAGAGAGAGAGAGAGAGAGAGAGAGAGAGAGAGAGAGAGAGAGGGAGTGGCTGCTATCATTTCTTTCTGAGACTTCCGTTGAAAGCCTTGGGATCGAAGGCTGAGATATTCATCATGGCGTAGGGGAGCTATAATCATCTCCCTGTAATTGCAGAGAGTGCAAAAAGCACAGCTCAAGAGAGAGAGAGAAGAGCGTATATTGAATCTTATATGGTGAAGGAGCAAAAAGTTTGACTGAAAAAGAAATTTAAATAAAGGCTGAGAGGTCTGAAGGAGAAGAATTATTCGTGCTCTCTTTCTTTCTTTTCAAGGCTGCTTTATGATGAGACTTTGAAAGAGTAAAGATGAAACTATGAAAAGTGTCTAAAAAAGCAAAGAAGGTATGTGGGTGTCACCTGAACTGTTGCTTTGAATACAGAGAGAGATTCCTGGAGCATGCTAGCTACTTAATTTTAGTTACTCTTCTTGGGATTTTCAAGTCCTTTAAAAAAAACATAATCTTTTTATGGAGCCTGCAAATCTCCACCACCAACATCAGCTCCAGGATCATCAGCTTGTTGGGTCTTCTCCATTAGCTACCCCATCTTGCTATGGAGGTGGAAGCACCCATGATTGGACCTCAAACAACATCTTGTAAGTTCACTCTCTCCCTCTCACACAAACAGATACCATGTGCTACAATTGCAAAAGGACATGCCTTTTTTGTGTTGAAGTTAACATCCATATTGACATCTTGCTACTTATTACAAAGACATGATGATTTATCTTAGCCTAAAGCATGGGATCTTTTTTTTTCCCTCTGTTTATGATCTTTGATAATTTGACATACATCAATCAGAAAATGTATGGAACTCAAAAACATTCTTGTTGGGTTCTTGAGTTTTTCCCAAGATCAGTTTTTAAATCTTTTAAATTTTGGCTTGGATTGCTGTTATATAACAATAACGGATCATATTTATAACCCTATTCACAAACTGATCACAGAAAAATGCTATAGTTCTATTCTAGGGTTCTTATCTTCTTTCATGTAATTGACTTTATAGACTTAGTGTCATCTCTTCTACTTATTCATTTGAACCAGAAAGGTCTCATTTTAGGAACTAGGAAGCATATCTACATAATCATCTTCTTCAAATTAATTGTGCAGCAGTATCAATAACTTCAATCCAAATATTAATGGAGGTCTCATCAACTCAAGAGATCCAAGGCAGCTGGAAAATCACATTCTAAGCTCTTCTCAGAACAGTTGCATGAATCGAGACTTGGGCTTTCAGTGGGCTAGTTCAGCTACTACAGGGAGCTTCAACAGTCGCTCTATGCATGTTTTGGACTCAAACATTAATGAAGAGCTCTCAGATTCTTACCCAAAATTCAACGAAATGACAAACAGCCCTTCATCAAGCATAGAAGATTTACACTTACATCCCACAAGTTCCATAAAGAATGAGCGAAGAGATTTTAACGATCTGAGTGAGAAACTCATGCTTAGAACTCTCTCTTCTGGTTCTGCTTTCAAAATTGAAGGGCTTCAACTTCCAACTCCAGAATTCTACTCCAACCCACAATTCTCTCCTAGTTTACAAAGCGCATCCACAGCTTGCCGAGGGATTTTCAGCCAGATTCTTCCTACCATTAATATTTCAAACTTGAATCAATCATCTTCAGCAATTTCAAGCTCTTCAGACATGAACTTGCAAGTTCTGGATCTCTTAACGTCTTCAAGGTTCAGTGGAAGTTTTAGCCAGCCCTCACACGAACACCTCGGCCTGTTTAAAGACAGTCCATTCAATGGTCTTGATATTATGCACCAGTCAAGTCGCAGGCCATCCAACAGCTCTAGTCAAGTGGTTATACTCTTCTTCTTCCTCTTCTTATTTTCTTTTTTTTCTTCTAATTCCTTCCTGAAAACTTTTCTTGCAAAAAATCATGATAGGTTTATAGTTGAAATAATTCTAAGGAAAAAAGGGCAACCATCTAACTAGGTTTATCTCCTTCTGTGGGATATTAAGAGAAAAAGAAAGCTACAACACTTCTATTTTTTTCGTTTGAATAAAATGGAATCAAAAGGATAGCCTTCTCTTTATGCTATTAAAAGCATACTTGCAGCTTTATACATTAAATGCGTCTCTATTTTTTCAGGAATTGAGTCTTTTTTTAAAGGGTTTGACAAATTTTGTCAAAATCATTCGCTTAAACTTTACTACTTTTGTATCTTGAAGATATCATCCTTGACTAATGGAGTTACAGAAGCAAAAAGAAGCAGCAGTTTTTTGGAGCCAAAGGCTCCTCAAGCAGCACCAAAGAAATCGAGATTGGCAGCTTGCTGCCCACCCTTTAAGGTGATGAAGTAGAATCACCATACTCCAGAAAGATGAAACCATAGTATATAAATTATGGTATGGGTCATTTCTTCAATTGTAGATGTCATTGATAATTTATTGATGTGTAGATGTTTGTTGAAGCAGGTCAGAAAAGAGAAATTAGGAGATAGAATTTCAGCTCTTCAGCAGTTAGTGGCACCTTTTGGCAAGGTATACCTAGTGTTCTTGCATCTCAGCAACTTCATCAATTCATCATCAACATATAGTTGTAAACCTTCAAATTTACCTGAGATAGGCCTTTACACATACCTAACCCATGACCATACAAGTAGCATTCTCTTTCCCTTTCTTTCATAAATGTTGGTTTACACTTTCTCTCATGTGTGAGTCATGTTGTTCTTTTTGAGTTAATTATGAGTGGAGCGTTTGCTAGCTCCCCTTTTGCCCATATTTGGACTGTGTATTTGCTAAGAGCTATGCTATAGGTTGTTTTTGTTCGTCATTTGATATGTTGCCCTTGTTAATTTTTTTAACATTCAGAAAAATATTTTAGTTCTTGTTTTTTGAATTTGTGACTTCTGAAACATGTGATTAGTTTATTACACTACTTTAAGTTTAATTTGCACTTTCATATTTTTGCATCACCACTTACCTAAGGACATCTTTAACCTTTATTTAAATCATTACTCAAATTTAAATTTAACAAAAGACTAAAAATAAAAACCAATTTTTCACTCAAACTCGTACTATATAAAGAAAGTCTCAAATTTTAATTCAATGATCGAATTTTACCCTCTTTTTATTGAATATTTTATGCTCCTTTAAATATATATTTGTTTTCATTTAAATTTAAATTTATCTATTTTAAATTTGAGTGTCTTCGTTAGATTGTTTCATATTAAATTAAAATTTTTTATTCAAATATGGAATAAAATTTAAGTAAAAATTAGAGTGAAGGTCTAAGATAGCGGAAAAAAACTCAAAAGTCTGAAACTATGTGAGTTCCAAAGGTTTCAAACATTATGACAGCACGAATTTCGGGAATGTCCTCCAGTGGAACTTTATATAAGATGACCCCCAGAGAGCATCCTTCTTTCATTTATATTAATGATATTGTTGGATTGTTTCATATTGTTCCGGTGACAGTATTGTTTCATGTGTAATATAATACATGTACATATGCATGTGGGTTGGAGAATATTGCAGACTGATACAGCGTCCGTTCTAATGGAGGCGATTGGATATATCAAATTCCTTCAAAACCAGGTCGAGGTACTTTCACTTCATGACATTCTTCTCGGTTTTCTATCTCCTTTTTGTATTATCTTGCAGCCTTATCCAATGGAAGGATTTAATAAGGAAGGAAATACAGACCCGCATGCTCTTTTGGCCATAAACCCTAGCCATAATGTTTGGTTTAACTAAAATTTATTTTTAAGATTAATGTTATTTCAACTTAGTTAGATGATTCAATTTGGTAATTTAGTCCATTGTTATCATTAATTTAATTGTGGATCTCACTATCAATCTAATGTTAGCAATAAATTAGGTAAATAAATTAAATTTAATAAATATTATAGTAATTAATATGATTTTTTTTGTTTAAATTCAGCATATTGCCTTCTTCCCTTTATTACATACTGGTGCGACCCATAAATTTTCACTTCAAGAATTATGGTATATTGGAACAATATTATTATGACCTAATAAAAAGATTTAACTTGAAGACATAATGAAAGGTCATTATCGAATTAACAATGGATCTTAATATTGCATCGATTTTATTATTAATCTAATGGTAGCATATATCACATCCCTAAATTAAATTTCTAAATTAGGTACAAGTAGCAGTATATATAAAATCTATTCTCTGTGACAAAAGCTAGATTCTTTTTGTTAAGATGGTCACAAAACTCAACTCAAATGTCTTTTCTGGTCAAATTATGAATAATTCAAAAAATATCATCACTGGTAATTCTGAACAAAATTTATTCTAAAAAGTTAATGTTGATAGAGTGTTTTCCTGTTGCTTCGACTTTCCTTGAATAATTAGATTTTACTTTTGCTTTGTTGCAGACGCTAAGTGTCCCATACATGAATTCATCAGGCAAGAACACCAGTTGTAGGTCATTGCAAGGGGTAAGAAAGTGGTCACACTAACACTGAATATTTCATTGATAACATTAAACGTCTCAACTCACAACTGTTCGGAAGGAAGGTCATTAACTTTTAGCATAGAGGTTTTGCTGAGTGATAGTCCTTCTATCACCCATATTAGTTTCGTAATTACGAGAGATTCTGTAAAATCATGGAAAAGGGTTATATTAAGGCAACAACTTACATTCAAAGAGAGGAAAGGAAAAATGGACTCTCTCTCTCTCTCTCTCTCTCATTTCAAATGTCCTTAATTCATATACTTTGCTGATTCATAGTTGCTTTGGATCTCAGGAGGATGGAGAAGAAGAGTCGTGCCATCGAGATCTTAGAAGCCGAGGGCTCTGCCTGGTACCCTTGTCATGCTTGTCTTACGTTACCGATGGCGGTGGAGGTGTTTGGCCACCTCCTAACTTCGGTGGAAGCACTTGAATGTGTTTTTCAAGTCAAACAGTAGATTGCACCTTGCCCTAAAGCAGTGTTGGATCCTGTAATTCCATAATGAAGAAGAATCCATCTCTAGAGTATCTTGCTTTTTAATATAATGGAGCAAATTTGGTCATCCTCAACAAGTAATTAGATTCCAGGTTGGACCAAGTTTGATCCATTAATGATCTGTTTAAGTTTTTTTCATTACCATCTTCCCCAATTGGTTGTGTACACTAAGTCTATTGATAATCCTTAATTCTACCTTGATTCCACCTTTACCCAGGCTCCCATTTTTGGTTCAACATAACACACACACACACACACATATAATCACAATATATCATATGGTGGTTTTTATTTCCAGGTATAAGGATGTCTTCAAGTATATTTAATTAAGCAATATTTTTTAGACTTAATTTATTAACTTAATTTGCTGATTTACTTCACTAAAATCATAAAATTGGTTGTGGGTTCCATCGAATATTTGAACAGGATGTTAGTTCAATGGTTATAATAAAATCATATCATTAGGTTAGTAAATTAGGTCTAAATATCTTTACTCTTTAGCAGATAAGTAATGTTATTTGGACCTAATTTGCTAATTTACTTCATTAAAAATATTAGATTGATTGCGGACCCCATCAAACACTTAAAATTAGTGTTAGTTTGACGATTACGATAAAATTATATCATTAACTTAGCAAATTAGGTTAAGAGATTGGTTTGTTTGGATATAGTAAACGAAGGAGCACGGTGCAGTGTATATTTGGTAAACGCAGCACGATCTGCATCACCCTTCACTCAAATCGGCCCAAACAAGTACCTTTTATGGGCCTGCATTGGATTGGGCCTGAAATAGAGGTTGGATATTCAGATCATACATTTTAGATTACATTATGCTAAGAGAAATTCATCTTGTAAAGATAATGAGTTATTTACCTATGAATATGATGCTTAATTTATTGGGCTTTCCCAAGTGAACAAGCAAATTAACATAAGAAAAAATTATAAGGAGTTACACGAGAATAAAGTTATTAGTCAAAAAATACATAACTCTTAATGTTAGGTCATTAAGTTCATATTTTTAGAACTTAATTGTGTCTAGGTACACAATTTGACTTTTCATGATTTTTCTTTGACATATTTGCTCTCCCTTAAATCATGCAATTTTTTTTTTCAGCTAAGTTAATTTTTGATTTTGTTTTATTGTATTAAATATTTCCTAATATAATGAAAGAATTATATTATCACAAATTTTGCATCTAAAGTTGATTGTGTATATCTTAACCATTTTAAATTTTAAATTTTTTTGTCATTAAATGTATATCTTTTGTCATTAGTGTATATATATATACACACACACACACATACATACACATATAATATTACGAAATCACACTATGAAACTTATTTTTTATTACTCCTACACTGTTTTGATACACACATATATACACACACACACACCAAAAATCTTTAATTTTAGTACTTTCTAAGATAAGATAATTAAAAATTTTTAATTTTAGTTGTCAAATTTCAAAAGTTTCCAAAAACTTAGAAACATATCCCTAAAAAAGTAGAGAGAGGATTTATTATGGATTTTAATTTTCCTAAATTTCAGTTTTTTGTTTTATTAGAACTCCTCTCTCTCTCTCTTTATATATATATATATATATATATATAGGGGCATGTGAGACAAACACATGGGATAATGTGGAGATAATTAAATGTGGGGTTAATTTTTAAAATCGTTTTTAGAAAAATTATTTACTATAAAAGGATATTCAAGTCTTTCTATGTTTTAAGTACACTCATTTACAAAATATTTTTGCATATATATTTTTAATAATTAAGTCAAATTTTGTCTACCGATTTCTAAAGTAGAGCAGGTTTTAATAAGCTCATTTGACGGTTTCAAATAGATTGATCAAACGGCCACTAACATCCCTCTTAAATTTTTACATTACCTTCAGGGACGAGTTACCCCTAATAACAAAATATAACAGTAATCAGTTATAAATTCAGACATACTGAATTCGAATCTTGGTAATTCTTTAGAGTCAGGCCATGAATATCCTAGTCTCAGCGTGAATGATATATTTTTGACCAAACAAGGGAGAGGATCAGTTAAAATACACGCAAATTGATCTGAATATCTCTAATCGTTAAATCCAAAAAAAACAAAAAACAGTTTGATTTGGGCCCCATAAAAGAGGATAGTTTCGATATTTAAACATAAGTACTTGTTTGTCAATGCTCCTGCCGACCTTTTAAAGTTCAATGAATAACAAGAACCGTTAAAGGCGCGGTTGAAGTTTCAAATGCAATTCATGTCAATTCGAAAGCTAAAAGAAGTTGTGGTCTAAGTCAAGGATCAACCTTTTTCAAAGATAACGAGTGATTCCTTGTGTTACTCTTTTTAGTGTTTATTCTTATTTGTTTTTTGGGCTTCTCTCCATCTCTTTTTGGGTGTTTTCTTCTCTGCCAATTGTTTATTTGTTGTAATAATTAACTTTTAATTACAATAGTGATGTACAATTACGCATAAATGACCAAAGTTTTGTGCAATCTTTTATCTTCTTCCTCGAATTAAAATTATATTCTTGTTTACAAGAAATTGTAAACATTAATTAAGCTATTGTCTGACCTATCCATTTATTGATTAAAAAAGACTTTTGTATATTTGATTATAAAAAGGGGTGGGCAAAAAAAAACGTTCAGTGATCACCTTAATACGCCTTCACTTATAAGATTATGAAACTCCTAACCGCGTCTGTTACTCCTCTCGAAAACTAATCTACTTAAGCTAGCATAACATCAACCACCAATAACTAACGTAGACTCCAAATATTTTGAAAAAGTTTATTCATAGACTTAAAACCAGCAATGTATCATTTGAATGCATAAGCATTTATTATCCCTTCACTTCTAATTTCTCCTTGTTATTTTTTTGCTTCGAGATATTTAGATTTGTGTCAATTACTCTCTTAAATTTTGATATTAACTATCATAACTCGAGTTAGTTTAAAAATCTGTCATATGCAAAATGACTGAGCCTTATGAGTGTAGAAATTATAGTTATGTTATATAAACAAAAAACACAATTGCAGTCAATTAGCTATTTTGACACAAATTCTCCTTCTTAACTCTCCCATGCCTGTCGATGAAATACTCATCTAACAATAAAAATACATTCTTTGAACACATTCATTGTACCAAAACTATTTAATTAACATATGTTGTGTCCTCATCAATACTTTGTTGCCAAGCAAGTTGCCATAGTTGAATATTTCTGTTTAAATTGAAATGAACCTTTTTTCCACTGTCTCCGACCCCATGCCAGCTATTTAACCTTTTTCTAAAAATATAGAATTCTCCATAAAGTTGTGCATTTTCTCCATATAGAATTCTAAAAATATAGAATTCTCCAGCTATTACAACTGATTTGAATTATTAATTATAGTGATTGATTATTAAATAAGTGCTTAATTAATATTTTAATTTCTAACTGTTGGTTATGGCCAAATTCCTTTCTTCGTTACCACTTTGGCTATTATCTTATTTGAAAAATCGACCACTTTTGACATAAACTTAGTATTAAATTTAAAAGTTAATAATCACTATTCATGTGGAACAATCAGTCAATCATCAACGTATAAAATAAGACAAAATAGCCAATTTTAAAAATCTCTCAAAACCTTGTTATCGAAAGATTCATACGAGACAGAACATAATTAATGAATTAGGAGGGCTATGAAATAATGTAATTGAAATTTATTTTTCCCGTATTCAAGAAAAGGTACGAGTAAGGGGTGACAATGAAGTCGTGTGTATTGAATTTGTTGATTACTAGTATCAATACTTTAAATCTATTTATTTCTATAATCAAATTAGACAAATTTGATATAAATTCAACATATTTATTAATTTTGTTGCATTCATTTTAACACATAATTATGAACATAAATTTTATACTTAAAACTACACCTTTTTTTTTTCAGTTGAATCAACCACTAATAAATTTTCTTAGCTAAAAATCCACGCTGGATACTTACATAGACACGTAGAATTTCTCAGCAAAACAACATTATATCTATATAATAAAATAACTAAATTATTTGTCTTGAGTTTTTCGAGGCTCAGATCATTTTAATCTGATGGTCCTAATTGGACTTTCATTTATTTTACAACTCTAAAACTCTCATTTCTCATATAACCCTCTCTCTCTCATACTGTTATCTTCTTCTTTTTTTTTTCCTCTGTGTTATTTTTGTTATTATTTATTCCTTTAAACAGATGAAACTAAATGTTATGTAATTATTTATTCTATTAAACTAATTAAATTTTTTTATATAATGACAGCATGTATTTTACCACTTGTTTCTTAATTTGTAAATAACACTTAACATAAATAAAAAAATAGCGCATTGACTATAAACACTAAATAATATTCAATAAGAAATGATCCTTAAATTGTAAATTTATATATAATTTTATCAAAAAATAACATTTAATTTTGTCTAATTTATATTCAACTTTGTCAAATTAATATCAAATTAATTTTTATTGTTATCAAATTAATATTGAAATTTATTTAATAAATTTTTTGGAGTACTAAATTATATCAATTTTTTGGATACTAAATCAAATTTTATTTGATTTTATTAAAATTTTAAATTTTTTTTGGTATTGAATTTGGAGAAAGACAATTGTAGAAATAATAAATTTTTTTGAAAAGAAATTATTAATTTCTGATAGCAACATTGACAGAAGGGGTCTCTATGCAATGTATATTAAACATCAGGGGTCTCCGTGTTATTGATAAAATATCAGGAGGTGTCCGTGTAATATTACCAAAACTTAGGCTATGTCCGTAATCTTTACCCTATTTTTTAATTAAATATTAACTTATTATTATTTTATCTTACAAACTTGAATTATTGTATTTCTAATAAAAACATTTATTGGTTAGGAGAGTTTGTTAATAACTAAAAAAAATGTGTGTGGGTGTGTTTCTGTGTATATTTATCTGTGGAGGATTAAAATTTTGGTGATTAAATTTATAATTATATTATGTCATTTTGGGGTTAAATTGTAATAATAGTGATAAATTCATGAGCATGATTTGGTTGATTTTATTTATCGCTTTAAGATTGTGAATTTAATTGTATTCTGTTAGTTTCTTTTTTTTTTTTTTGCTTGAGGTATTTATTAAATGGGAATATGGTGGATTGAAAATATGGTGGTTGAGTTT